ATTCTTTCAATGCGCCAGTGTTTTCTTTGAAATGGTAAATTCAAGCAGTGGCCCGTAGGACCCTTGAGAGCTCGCTGTAGCGTTCCAAGTCAAGTACAGGATCGTCTACGGTAGTTGTTACTTGCAGTATATTGGTTTTGAAGTCATAGTCTTTCATGTCGTCTAGGTCGTCTCGTTCGGGATGCGCCTACGGCCATTCGGGTGACGGTTTCTTGACCCGAGAACGACCAGGCCACCACAGGTTGTTGACTCTAGGTTTCACGCGGAGAGTCCTCTTGTTAGGCAATCTGCCGGGTTTTCTTTACCCGGGCAGAATGTCCAGCGAGCTGTAAGCGTGTTGTTTTGGATTTCCCTCACTCTATTGGCAACAAACGTCTCCCACCAGTGACTTGGACTTTGTATCCACTTCCAGGTTATGGTAGAATCTGTCCACAAGTATACTGCGTGGTCTTGAAGAGACGTCTTTTGTACATAGCACAGTAATCTTGAACCGATGAAAGTTCCCATCAGCTCTAGGCGAGGGAGTGTCAGCTTTTTAAGAGGTGCTACTCGCGCCTTTGCAAGTAGCTGTTGTATTTGTACTGTGTTCTCGGAGTCAGATGTTCTTAGCTAGACAACTGCGTTGTAAGCCTTCGGATTGGCGTCAGTGAAGACATGCAGTTCGTAGAACAGCCTAGTGTCTTGGAGGTCCTCGAAAAAAAATCGACAAATGAATATGATTTGTAGCTGTAAACTCTCGTTGCACCACGTGTTCCACTCTTGTTCTATGTCCTCGGGAAGACCATTGTCCCAGTCTATATTTAATTCCCACAGTTTCTGGAACATAATCTTGACCCGGATGGTGGAAGGTGATAGCAATCCCATGATGTCGCAGATTCTATTGGCAGCTTGATGGACATATATCTTTGTACTTAAATTCGTTTTCAAGATGCTCGACGTCGAGGTCAACGACAACTTCAATGTGTCCTCCTCTATATTCCAATTTATTCCAAGCACCTTGGTGTCTGTCGTCATATCAGTTGGTTGGGGGACTCCTTTCTTGAACAATTTTTGCAGTGCCTTGCTGTTGGATGGCCATTTTTGAAGATTCATGGCAGCTTGTTGCATGATGTCTTGTGTTTCGTGAAACAACCTGACTGCCGCTGCTTCACTCTGGGCGCCAGTCCCAGAGTAAAGATCGTTGACAAAGAAGAATTTCGCTAGAATTTGAGTTGTTTCCGGGTGGTTTTGAACTGTTCGGAAATGATGCTGTAGGGTAGCTGTCAGCAAGAAAGGACTGAATGTTGTCCCAAACAAAACACGGGTCATCACCCACTCCTGGATTGGTGGTAACTGACCGGTTCTGTGGGCCTCTCTTCAAAGTACAAGAAGCGTAGCGCATCCCGATCCCTTAATTTTACTGATGTTTGCAGAAATGCCTTCTGAACGTTCGCTGTTATCGCTATTTTATTCACTCAGAACCTCAGGAGAACCTGTAACAGGTCGTCAGATGCCTTTGGTTCCGTTTAAAGAAATCCGTTGGAGCTCTCACTTCCTTGCTGGTGAGATGAGGCGTCAAATACGATTCTTATCTTCGTTGTGAGCGCCTCGCTGCTTACTACAGCATGGCGCAGCTTGTAGTACTGCCGTCTTGTATTTTTCCTTCAATCTGGAACCACCTCTGCATGTTCATTATCCAAATATTGACAGATCACTCTGTCGTAAGTATTCAGCAGGTTTCCATCTCTCCGGAGTTTTCGTATCAATTGATTTAACCTTGCTGTCGCCAGGTCCTTGTTGTCCTGCAGCTCGGTTATTTTGTGTGGCTTCCAGAGCAGTGAGACTTCAAACGTGCCTTCAGTCCAACGAATCGACTCTTCAAATGTCTGTAACACCGTTTCTTGGGACCTATCTTCCTTGTCTGTGATTCCAAGATGTTCCAGGTCCCAAACGCTGGCAATTTGTTTGTTTCGTCTTCAGTAGTGACTCCCGCATTAAGGATACAGGGCATGACATGGTTTTGTGTTGTCAATGAATAATTTTTGTCCGTTGGTCCTTGCACCGTCCAACCAAGTCGACTGCTTAGCGCTGTCAGCTGCGGACTCTCACTGCGGATGTTGTCAGCCTTCATGATTTTATATACTTGGTCAGCACCGATTAATAGGGTGATTCCGAGTGCCCCCCTCGTTTCATCGAAAAGGCAAAGTTCAGCCAAATCCTTTCCTTGACTTTGAAGCTCTCCTATGAAAGGGTGGTCCAAAAAAAGCGCCATCAATTCGCTCTTTAGTCTAACCTCCACAAGCTTTCGTCCTTGTTCTTTTGCGGCTTCGAATCCAAATGCGTTTAGGCAAATATTTATGTCGCCAAGATTACGCAGCTGATAAATTTTGGACAGATCTCGGATGAAATTTCGCTGGCTTCCTCCATCTATCATTTCTCTCATGTATATGTAACCACTTTTGCCAGCGATTCAGCTGCAAAACGTTTCAAGTAGGATATGTGGCTCCTTTTGTGTTGCTGGTGGAGCGTAAGTATGGAGTGCCTTCGTTTTGTTGTTTTGTTACTTCTTAGTTCGTTGCCAGCGTGGGCCGCACATCGATGTAGCATGTCTGCATTTGAAAATGACGGATATTTTTTGGTCTAAGGTCCATGCTTCGATTTAATAAAATCAAACCAATTTAATGGTCCAACACCGGGTACAAAATTGTCCTTTTCCTTTCTTCCCAGCTCGTGATCCCGCCGCCGTTGTCGTCGCAGCTCCAAAGCTTTGATCCCGTGCTTGCTCCTTCTTTTTTCGATGTCCTCGCGCACTCTAAATAGTTCCAACATCCACCCCTTCGAAAACGCACTTAGTCCGTTTTTTCACACTCCGAGGATTTCAGGCAGTACAACAGCTGTACAGGGCGCTTCACTGTGGATCCGTCGGGTCGCCGTACTTCGCAAGAACGTACCTTATCTTTTCGTCCCCGGAATACCTGTTGGAGGATTCCTGTCCTCCACAACTGTCGTGGCTGCATACTTTCACGTAGAAGCACCAAATCTCCAACCTTGATTTGGTGAGGTGACTGCTTCGTATCGTGCGGCGACCCAAGTTCCGTCAAGTACTCTTTCGATAAACGGTTCCAAAAGCTCTTCATGACTTCTTGTATGTATTTCCAGAGCTTCCGTAGCGTCTCAGCTTCAACGTCCTTTATGTTCGGAACTGTCCGGTTAGGTAACGACGTCACTCGCTTGCCAACAAGAAAGCATGACGGGGACAGAGGCTGAGGCTCTTGACTTTCGTTGTAGGTGAAAGTCAATTGTCTCAAATTAATAACAGCCTCTATCTCGCTAAGCAGGGTTCCAAGCTCTTCCTCGGTCAAAAGTCTTCGGCCGATGGCCTTTTTCACTGATGTCTTGACTGACCGCACGAGACGCTCATAGAACCCGCCCCACCATGGGGCACGCTCCGCAATAAATTTCCAGTGAATTCTGTTTTTGCTGAAGTAATCTTTGAGCTTTTTGTTGTGAAGGATGTTCCGGAGTTCTTTCATTTCCTTGTTTTCTCTCTTAAACGTCAGTGCGTTGTCTGAGTAAACCACTCTTGGCGGTCCTCGTCGTGAAGCGAAGCGCCTGAGCGCTCGCAGGAAGACCTCCGTTGTCAGGTCCGGAACCAGCTCCAAATGGATCGCCCTTGTCCCGCGCATGTGAACAATGCCATATATGCCTTCTTGGTCGACGCCTTCGTTGAAATCCACAAGGGTCCTGCAAAATCGATGCCCACGATCTCGAAGGCACCCGCTTCTGCAATACGGTCCGAAGGAAGGGGCGCAGTCACTTCAGTCAAAGGTCGAGCATTCAGACGTCGGCACGGTATGCATTTTCTTATTTCTTTCTTGACCAATTGTCGAGCACGCAAGATCCAGACTCGCTCCCTTAGCTGCTTCAGCGGGTCGCGTACTCCAGCATGGAGTAATCGTCGCTGCGCTTGATTGACAAGCAAACTGCTGAAAGGGTGGTCTTTCGGCCACACAACCAGATGCTGCTTGTCGTAAGGCTTTCCTGAAAACTGAAGTCTTCCCGTCACTCGGAGTAGCCCACTTTCTATAAAGAGGGGAACAGTCCTGAGGATTGAGCCTGCTGGAAGTGTCTTGCCTTCTCGAATACTCTTCAGTTATTCAGCAAAGGCCACACGCTGTACTTGTTCTATCAATAACCTCTCTGCTCGGTTGAGTTCTGCGACAGTTAATGGCCGGCTGTACTTGTTCTATCAATAACCTCTCTGCTCGGTTGAGTTCTGCGACAGTTAATGGCCGAGAGTCAGCACTTGTTCGTCTCGCTTTGTTTATGAATCGCAGCATCCAGTCTGTCGTTCGCACTAGTCGAAGCGCAGAACTGAAGCTCTTGATCTCTGGTGTCTCTGTCGTGTTTGAAATAGTTGTCAAAGTAGTCACCCTTTCTTCTTCATGCGATTCTTCCGTGTCGTCTTGAGATTCAGCGTGTTGAGGCTACATAGAACGGTTGGTTAACCCGCTGGGTCCATTCCACCACGTCTCACTTCCCCGCAACTCGGATGCTGAAATTCCACGTGTCACTAAATCTGCTGGGTTTTCCTTTCCTGGGCAGTGTCTGCAGTTGGCGGAATTGGACTTGCTCTGAATTTCTGCGACTCTGTTGCTCACGAATCGATTCCATCTGCATGCCTCTCCCAGGATCCAGCAGAGGGCTATCTTTGAGTCCGTCCACAAGTGTACCCCTTGAATGTCTTCGTGTAGTTCTGTTTGGATATATTTGATCAGTCTTGTAGCAATAAGCCATGCCAGAAGTTTGAGAGTCGTGCCAGGGAAACCTCAGAAGAATTGGCAGTTGTCTATGTTGCCCTCGCTCTTGGTCACTGTTGTCACTCGGCAGGGCAGCAGCTTGGGTGCTCAGTCGTCGGTACTCCTCGTCGCGTACAGCAGTTCTATTTTAGGCAAGAACTAGATCTTCCGGAAGCAGACGAAGTATTAATGGGTAGAGAAGTGTAGAAAAGGTTTCTTCGCTTACCCCAGAGACTTGAGCCCACGGATGTTTCCTTGTAGGTCGTCGTGCAGTCGCCTGAGCCCTCGGACATCAAGCGATGATTGAATCCGCTGTCTTTCCAATAGCCTAATCATGTAATCGACGATCAACCATTTTTCGTCACCGAACCGGGTTTTGAGGATGTCCCAAGCGTCCTCGTAGCAGCTCGCTGTCGCTGGGAGTCCTGCAATCGCCGCAGTGGCTTCTTCAGAGAGAGCAGCTCTCAAGTAGTTGAACTTGTCAGTCGGCGATAATTCTCGGTTATTGTGGACCACCTGTTCAAGCTGCTCCCAGAAGGGCTGCCACTGTATGCTATCTCCGTTGAGACGCAAAACCTCCAGCTTGGGGAGCTTCACTTTCACAGATGACCCAGAGGACCCGTTGCCGCTGTCGCTTGGTCGATAGGAGGTCCTGGCATTGTCTGCACTTGCGATGGTAATCTTGAACCTCATGTGAGCGGAACAAGCGACGACACGGTCGTTATACTCGATAGTCCGCGTGTACTCCTGTCCCGCTTCCCCATCTGTCCACAGTGGCTCGATGACAGCGTCCGTTTCGTTAAGTTGGCCATGTATGGTGTTCATACGGGCGAGCAGAATCCGCAGCTCCTCTTCAACAAGTACTTCGCGTTCGGCAGCCGCGTCGATCTCCGAAAGTACTTTGGTCATTTGCGAGCGTTGGGTCTTCCGCTTCGAGTCTGTCCATCGCCGCGTCGTTAGGCCTCGCTCTTCCTTCTCCGATGTCGAGACTTGAAACTCGGTTAAATCAACCCTCAGACTCACTGTCCCGTCCGGTAGCGGTCCAGGTTTTCGGCACCAAATGCTGAAGGATCTTTTTTGGTCTAAGGTAGATGATTCGATTTAAAAAAAAAAAAAAACTAATTTAATGGTCCAACGTCGGGTACAGAATTGTCGTCGTGGTTCGGGATCCATCCAATCTTCCTTTTCCTTTCTTCCCAGCTCGTGATCCCGCCGCCGTTGTCGTCGCAGCTCCAAGGCTGTGATCCCGTGCTTGCTCCTTCTTTTTTCGATGTCCTCGCGCACTCTGAATAGTTCCAACAGAAAGTATTGTAGGCGATTCTCCTGCAATCTTGCGCTCCGTGCCCCTTCATGTTACATTTAAAACATCTCATGTCGCCGGAGAGTTTCATCTTTTTCACATCTATCGTAGCATCCGTGTTGCAGTCTTCCGACGAGTGTTGCCTGGAAGAGCAGAAAAGGCAGTCCGCTGACTTTTTCGCCCGAATATGTAGAACAGCTGCGGAGCTTCTTGTTCCTTCTCTTCTGGAATCGTACTTCCGTGTAAGGTCGACTGTCTTGACTTGTCCTCCCTGTTGCCAGTCCACCTCGTTCTTGACATTCCACTTCAATCTGAAGAAATTTTAATGTCATCTCCAGATCTCCTTTTGACGTTAGTGGCTCTGTGGCTCCGCTGAATGATTTTCGTCGATGATATTCGATGAAGACGTCGGTTGGTAGAACCTTCATTAGTATCTCCTTCAGCATCGCAGTGTAGGACATAGCGCGAACTCCGAGTTCTTCTAAGCCACGAATGTGTAGCTGAACGGGGTCGAGAAGTCTTCTTAAGTAACCAACGTCGTTTGATTATGGGACCTTCTGGAGCGTTCGAAGTTTCGAAAGATGGTCTTGCTCGATGAGTTTCTTGTCTGCAAATCGCCCTCGGAGTACAGCCAACGCGTTTGTGTAGCTGGAGTTAGAACCGTGAAGGCCAGCGATGGCTCTAGATGTGGGTCCGGTGAGAAGGGACCGGAGGTAGTGAAACTTGTAAGCCTGACACAGTTGAGGATGTTGGTCAATCGTGTTTTGGAACATATCCCAGAAAGCTTGCCACTGAGAAGTGCTGCCGTCAAATTTCAACATCTCCGATTTCGAAAGTCTTGCTCCGGCTTTCTCGGTGGTGGTCGGCAGAATCGCCGGTGTTCTGTTTACTTCTACCCCGTGGGTTCCTGGATTCTTCAGAATCTCAATTCGATGACTCAGCATTGCAAATGCATGCGTTGAGTTGTCCTGGTAAGTCATTACCACTTCATACTCTTGCTCAGGATGTTCGTCGCTTACGAAGGATTCGAATTCTCAATCTAAGATTTTCAGCTCTTTGATATTTGTCGTTAATATCTGAAGAAGCGTTGTAAGCTAACTAAGATCGTGATCGTCATTTGTAAGAGTTGCCCTGACCTCGTGGATGATCCGAGTGGCCTGGGCCCGACGAGAGGTCCGCTTGGTCCGTACTCGCTCTATGTGGCTGTCTTCAGTAGCTTCTTCAGGTCTCTGTTGGCTTACTGTAGCGTTGAAGTATCCTTCCCTGGTTTCGGCAACATCAATTTCCTGTAAAAACTTCCTCCTACAGCCTCTGATATTACAAGCGATTTAATCTGAACAGCCCGTCATTGCGGTTGGACGATCAGTTCAGAGTAAAAAAATCGTGCTGCATTCCCTGGCATTGGATGGCACGAGATTTTTCTTTCCCTCGTAGGTCTTTTCTTCCAGTCGCGAGATGCAGTTATTTTCAACAAAGGGTATGATGTCCGTGTCTTTTGTGGCACCGCAGTACATTAAGCAAAACCCCGCTCTACAAAACCAAAGTATTCATAGCACTATTTTTATATCTCGCCCGTTTAAAAATAAATTAACATTGTAACAAGCTATGTGGTCATTACTTGTGTATGATGCAGTTTAATTTCATGCAGTAGTGGTTAATTTTGTCACCTACAGCACGGACCATTTCATGTCCCCTTATCTCAATTGTAGGCCGGTCTTACGCAATCCAAAATACACGTAAGAACTGCGCTTGCTTTTTTAACTTCCGAAATCAACATTTATGTGCAAGTGGCTCATCTTATATAACGCATCTAAATTCTAAGTTATTATTTGTTTGTTTAGTTTACTTTTGTTTATGCAGACTGTGTTGTTCATGCGTGCAAAAATGAGGTGTGCCTTTTGTCCTGTCTAAGTAGAAGTGCAAGAGGCAATAATTTCACCAATGATTGCAATAACTTTAGAAGAATTATCTTTGTGAAAGGTAGCATAACCTGATGAATATTTCCTTTTTATTTCGAAGATTTGCCTTTGCGACCGAAATTGTCACAGACATTTTCAAGAACCGCAGCTGCAGCAGAGCAAGCAAGCAGTATTTTATTTTTCATCGCTCCCCTCGCAGACAGATGTGGGAGTGCGCACAAATGTGAATTGGGTACCAAATCTTGAACAAACAAAACGGTAAATTAAACCAGAACCACTTGGTTTGTTTTTGGCGTCAGAATAATTCTGGGGGGAAGTAACAATATATCTTTGGTGCTGTGGCGTTTGCTCACAACCTCCGCGGTTCCTTGACCAATGATGATGAATTTGTGGATGAACGTAACTGACATGATTTTTTCAATGTTGCATATAACAATTTAACAAGGTTAAGGTACTTAAGACTTGATGTAGTATCTTTGATCTTTGAAAAAAATGTGAATTATTTCTGTCCATAAAGGGAAACACCATTCTCGTCACTGGTACTTTAATAAATTGCAAGTCTTAGTGTGTAGTGAGCAGCCTATCAGCGCTCTAAAGCCGAGGAGTGACACGATTAGTCGATAAAAATAAGAAAAAAACGAATCAGGAGGAAATCCTAAAATATTATAACAGCCCAGGCAGCACCGAGTTCTGGGCCAAAACTTGGCTTGCGTCTGGCAGTTTAGGGCATTAAAAAGCCCGAAGAAGCCAAAGTAGTGCCAAACCTGACCTCCCTTGGCAACAGTCTGGGTATCTTGGCCCTAATTCGCCAAACAAGTGCCAAACTTAGGCTTCGCTGCCGGGTAGTTCGGCTGTCGTCTGGCATCTTCGGGCCTAAATCGCCTAAAAAATGCCAGATTTAGGCTTACTGCCCGGTAGTTCCGCAGATCTTTGGCATTTTTGGGCCAAAATCGCCAAACTAATGCCAAAGTTAGGCTTCACTTTTTGATAGTTCGGCTATCACCTGGCACATTCGGGCCAAAATCGCCACAGATGTGCCAGAGTTAGGCTTACTACCTTGTAGTTCGGCAGAGCTTTGGCATTTTTGGGCCAAAATCGCCGAACTAATGCCAAAGTTAGGCTTCACTTTTTCACAGTTTGGCTGTCACCTGGCACATTCGGGCCAAAATCGCCACAAATGTGCCAGAGTTAGGCTTACTACCTTGTAGTTCGCTTGAGATCTGGCATCTTTGGGCACAAGTCGCCAAACGAGCGCCCAAGTTAGGCTTCGCTTCCCGATAGTTTGGCTGTGATCTGGCAGCTGGGGGCCAAAGTTGCCAAACAAGTGCCAGAACTAGGCCTACTGCCTTGGAGTTCGGCTGATGAGGTATTTGATGTACGCGGGTGGTCTTCATCTTAATTAAATAGAAATCAAGTTTTATTCGGCTGGCAACTTTATCTTATTTTGGGTGTCTCTTGATTTCTGCAGTCCAAAGGTTGGCTGAATGTTTTGACGCGGCTGGAGCGGGCTTTGCAAACGCAAATAAATTGTGCCAGAGGTAGCACTCGCGCGTAGCGCGTGTAGGTACACAAGCCAATATCGGGGCGCGCCGTGAGACTGGTTCGACATTATGGCGCGTTCACGCCGGCGATCCGATCTACTCGCGCCATACTTTTCATCGCAAAAGCGACCATCGCGGGCAAAAAGTGACGGGTTTTGAGCAGTCGCTTGCTGACCCGACTTTTTACGATGCACTCTAGTCGCGGAGAGGCCGAGCCAACCAACGGCGTTCGGTGCGAGAGTTTTTGAGAAGCGACTCGCCAACGAAGGCGTTGGACTCGCTCATCGCGCACGCCAAATTGACCAACTAATTACTTTTATTTATTTTTTTTTTTTTGCGATGCGATTTAGTTGGATCGCACGACTGCTTACGTCCCCGGTGTGAATCCGCCTTTACAGAAAGTGCTGCCATTGAGCTAACACTGCGCAAGACCGATGTGCGCACGTCTCCACAAGAAATATCATTATTAGGCGGCGCATTGCAAAAGCGAGCGTGGCTCTGTGCGTGTCTTGCATTTTGATTGAGCGCTGTCAAATCCTAGTGATAACAAAGTGACAAAGCGCTTAAACGACCGGGGCTCCGTGGTGCGCCTCCCGCATCTCACTTGGGGAACGAAAATGAAATCCCGGAAATTGTACTATTTTAGCGTGTTGATACTTTTTAAACATTAAAAAGTGGAGGAACAAAAGGGACGATACAGACGGGATTATCTGAACTTTAAAGGCCGCTGTACAAAAGGGACGTTCTACAGAGAAGAACCTTCTCTCCCGAAGCTAGGGGACGGGGAGGGAAAGGGCCATCGTTGGGTGGAAAGAGCGTCTAGAGAATGGGATTAGCCTCGGGGCGAGCCATCCTGTCGAGAGGGAGTGGGGACGGAACAAAGCTGGCCGTGGGAGTTCCGGCTACCAGGTGGAAGAACGATAAGCTTGTCCAACGGCGACCTCGGATCCGAGGACGGGCACGTTAGAGAATTTGAAAAATGCTGCTTGATTAGCCGGACGACCCAGTGCGGTCTACTGGTTCTAGAAGGTGACTCGGATGAAGAAAACTCGTTTTGCTCGAAAACTCTAAAAGCATTCTGGACGTGAACTCTTGCCACAAATAAAAATAACACATGCATGAAAAACTACGAAGGCAACTAAGCTTTCTCCTATGATGGGAGAATGGGTGAGCATTACAGGCAGAGTTATGTTGGCGCAACTTGCAATAAAGAAAGTAAAAAAAAGTTATGTTGGCGCAACGTACAGCGCGCTAGTTTCACAATCAAGCGGGCCTAGCTTCGAAACCGGGCTGTTTTTTTTTCTAGTGTCCCTTTTTTTATTTCGTTTATTTTTTTATTTTTTCTTTGTTTGGTCACGTAACAAGAAAAATCACAGGAACAGAATTTTTTTTTTTTTTTTGGCTACGTCACCAGATTTTTTTCTTATTTCTCCTTTCCTTCAGTCTTTTTTTTTTTCCTTTTTTTGGTTTACGCTTCCTATCGCAAAACTCTTTGCACCTATTTCGCGTTAAATTGGCGTTAGCCAAATCATTTTTTTTATGGCAGGGAATTCTGCCGTACGTACCCTTTGTTACTATTACCAACCCTGGCTTGCAATTTCTGCTATCCAAAGGACTGGACTATGCCCTTGCTCCACGGTATGTTCCAAAACGTGACTTCATGATTGAAATTGAAGAGAAACTCAGACATGTGCACGATGTCACAGGGGTAAATTTCGCGAGAAGCCGCGTTGTCAGTGTTTCGAACAATGTGAAACCGGCCGGGTCACATTTAGATCAACAAGAACGCATTGCTCTTAATGAGCTGAAGTCAGACAACTCCATCATGACTTTAAAGGCCGACA